TAGTCTACATTTTTCTTGTAATTATTAGTTCCATTAGCTATAAATCTAAATTTTAATGGTGTTTTATGGAATTTGGGAATCGCATAAAGATTAGTAAATCTGTTGTAGTTTGCATTGAAAGTAATATTGAGTTTCTTATGAAAAGTTTTAATCCTGTTTATTATAGATGTTTCTGTAAGGTTGGTAATAAGATTGAGTTGGTTTGGCAAATTTCTGTTCGGGTTTCTATAGTTATTATTAAAAAAAATTAAAATAAATTAAATTCTTTAAATGTATTATAATAATAAACTGGTCAATAATCAATATCCTCCTTAAATAATTTATATATATATATAATATATAATACATATATATATATATCTATATATATCTATATATATCTCAATATATATATCCTATAGATATATAATGATATATATAATATATATAATATATATATAATGATAGCACAAATTTTGGAAGCACTGAAATAAGAACACTGAGATGTAAATGCGCAGAAATATTAATTGCATAGATACTTGAGTGTTAGAGCGTCCATCCATTTTTAAAGAAGACGCAGTCGAGCCGCGTTAAATTCCTTTTTTATTTAAATTAACGTTTTGTGGCCACAAGCACTTGGCACTCTACTCGTGCCTATTAAAGAACATTTAAAATTCTGATATTATTGCCATAGAAGCCAATGAAGCAGTACACACATGATTGCAGTCTGGCCAAGAGGAAAGCACAAGCAAAAGTGACGCATCAGTTCATAAAAAGAAGGGTAGCAGTTTTTAGTTGTGGTTTACATTTTGGTGATTGGTCAACAGGCATCTGAATTAACGGTTACGTAAGATCGCATGATTATTTTAAATAACGCAGTTTAAACTTACAGCGCTATTTTTAGGACAGATAGATGAAGTTTCCAAATGAAATAAAAAATAAAAGAGGTTATAGCGAATTAAATTTAGAAGTTTGCTTTCATATTTTTTATCTTACACATTTCCCCTTTCAAAAAGGGAAAAAGCGGAGCGATAGAGAAGCCTTTTTGAGAGAAAAAGCATTAGAGTAGCAAAAATATGAGAAATATAACTTTGAAACATACAAAATATAATATTAGAGTTCGAACAATAAAATTATAATACGTAACATTTTGAGTTCAATAATAATTTTTAAAGTCCTGAGATGATTTGGGTCCAATCTGTAGAAAGTTTCTTTTTTTGGAACATTCACGTCACAATTTTGATACTTCAGGGAAGGATTTCCAAAAATTTTTGCAAACAAGATCACAATTATAAAGAGTTAAAAGAATCTAACTTCTGCTTTGTAACAGAGTAAAGAAGTTAAACCATTTGTTATGTATATTTCTTTTATAACAAAAATGACATATAAAGAATTTCTTACTATAAAATGGATTTTACATTTTATCTCAAACCCTACCTATTTCTATGTTTATTTAAAAAAAAATTTAATTTGTGAGAGAAACTTAAAGGAAGATGGGTGAGGGCAGCGGTTTTAAGTTTTTGCCTCGCCTTAGAAAAAATGCTAAATCCGGCATTGAACAGCAAACGCAACGATATTTTCGAAGACGTACTTCGATCTGCTACTACGGATAATTCCTTAGCAGAGGAAAAGTATCCTAGAGGAAGTACGTCATCGGATGACAACCATAGCCTAATCTACCATAACCATAATGAGCCTTAACCATATTAAGTCATTTCTCCCTTTTTTGACGTCAAGGAATCCGAAGAATATCATTAAATTTTGAAGAGATTCACGCACTATTAGCCTCAAAGCTGTCTTACTGAATCTATGTTATCAAGGTAATTTTGAATCAATAAGTCTCAAGTGGTGAACAAATACATGTAATACACACAAGGTATAAATATATATAAATAAAAACAAAAGAATACCGAATAACATGACAGAGTAAATATAAAAATTCAGACTTCCATGATTACAGTTGGACTGAAAATGGACATTGGCCTTTTTTATTAGCATCGTTCTTATAATCGTAATTATAAATTCTGAGTTCAGAATTACTTATAGTACGTAAACGAATGTGAAACTGTCTGGCCAGGTGGTAGTAAAAACTTCTCAGCGGAATTATGCCTATTTCGGCATGAATTGCATTGTTTCTAATATAGTACGGTGCGTTTGTAATTTGCCGGAGAACAATATTCTGGGCAGTTTGAAGTTTTTTGCGCAGAGTTTTACATGAATACGCTCAGATTGGACAAGCGTAGCAGAGCATGGGACACAAAATGGATTTATAAATGAGTAACTTATTATCTATAGATAGAACGCTGTTTCGGGCAATTAAGGGGTTGAGTTTAAATTTACGAACCTGAATAATAGAGTGTATATGTGGGGTCCATGTAAGAGAATTTATGAGGATCACCCCAAGATAAGTGGCTTAGCACAGGGCTGTGAGATTCTATAAAACTTCACGTTTTGTTCAACTTTTCTCTTCTTAATTGAGAACAATAACATCTGTTCGAAAGTTTGAAATTTTGATTGCTCTGTTTGGATCGTATTCTTTGCTCTGAAATATTTCATTAGAATCGTAATTCAAAATTATAAATATGAATCTTGAAATTATGCTGTAATGAGTAAATATTCCTTAAAACTCGTGTTAAGCCCACCAGCGGCCGAGCGGTAAAGTCGCTGAACACTGGTAGTTCGGTCCGAGGTTCGAATCCCGCGCGAACGGGCTGGCTGCATGGGCGTTTTCGTGGTTTTCCCCATGTGTAACATGTATGCGAGTCAGTTTCCCTTAGAAAGTCCCGCACGAAGGCATCCCTCCCTTTAAGCAGATAGCCTTAGTATGCTTTGCCATAATTAGTGCTGTAGAAGTAACGAGAAATTGTGTACCCGTATGTATTCGTTACTCGGTGAACCAGTACTCGTTACTATCGTATCGTTACTCGTTACTTTCGGTAAAATCCATCGGTATTCGTATCCTGAGCCTATTTTATCGGTATACGGCTCTAGGGATCGGTATACGGCCCTATGCGATAGGGAGTTTTACGTCGTATTTTTGGATGGAAATAATTCACCTCTTTTTGTTGTGTCACAAAAGTCAGAAGTCAGAAGCGCCTACGGAAGGCCTACAGAAGACTTATAGTTCGTTCCGGAGTTCAATTCCCGGCTAACGGCTGGCTGCACGGGCGTTTTCGTGGCTTTCCCCATGTGTAACTTGCATATGAGCCAGTTTCCTTTAAAAAGTCCTCCACGAAGGCATCCCTTCCCTTAGGCAATAGCCCTAGTGTGCATTGCCGTAACCAAATAATCCGAAACCGAAAAAAAAAACGGAATTTGTGGGGGAAGGCAGTGACGAAACGTCGTTTTAGAAGAATAGGCTACATAACCAAATTTCTATCTATACTCTGGTAAAATAATAAAAGCCAAGTAACTTACTTAGTGATAAATAAATAAAATAAAAAACCAAGGCTTTTATTTTTGCCTTACTTGGCTTTTATTTTATATTTATATATATATGTGTGTACTTTACATTTAATTATAAGGATATATATATATATGTACTTTACATTTAATTATAATTTCTTTAAAATATACATATTTACGTTTTGTAGTATTACCGATTGCAGTAAAAAGGGAGGTGCACATCTAGATGTTATAACAGGCCCATATACAAAATTTCAACGTTCTAGAACTAATCCTTTTTGAGTTATGCGAAATGCATATATACGTACTTACACATCACGAAAAAATCCCTTTCAAGTATCAACTTAGAGTCATAATCATTAGTCATAAGTATCAGCTTAGAGTAAATGGGATTACATTTAACAGTCCGTTTCTGGAATTTAAAAAAAAAAAATAAAATAAAAAAAAAAAAAAATAAAAAATAAAAAAATAAAAAAAAAATTGTGTTTGTACGTACAGACGTCATTCAAAAAAATAATTCACATGGATTCTGTAATCGTCAAAAATCGATATTTCCGACGAAATATGATACCCAAAAATTTTTCTCGATTACAATACTTACTTCCTTTTTATTTCGTACAAGGAAGTAAAGAACTTATATTAACCTACATATTCTTTCTTAAACAATACCTAAGTGCAGTATATAAATATTTCAACTCAATAAAATCTCCCAATGGCACGCTCAAGAAAAAAATCAATAATCATCTAAATTTTCAAATTACAAACATAATATGCACTATAAATCTAAATGTGAAAAGCAAATACAAAATAACGCTTCACGCTATCAAAATTGATCATTTTCTTAAATATCAACAACTAAACAATATTTCAACTAAAACACATAATGTAAACAAGAGTTTGCCCGATGAGTTAACCAAAAAAATTCGAAATTATCAATGAAAAATGTGGCACACGGGTATTGTTAGCAAATGTATCATTCGTATTCGAACAGCAACCGCATCATTCGTATTCGCATAGAAACCGCATCATTCGTATTCGCATAACAACCGCATCATACGTATTCGAATAGCAACCGCATCATTCGTACTCGAATAAACCGCATCATACGACAGATGCGAGTAACGAACAGATGCGAGTAACGAAATGAATTTGTGAGTACCGAATCGGTACTTCGAGTCAACCGATGTACCCGTTATTCGGTAACGAATACATGCGATTTGCTCCAGCTCTAGCCATAATTAAATAAACCAAACAGGAATGCACAGGATATGCACAGGAAATTTATAGAATTGCGCATAATAACTAAGTGTAATTTTAAGACACTATATTTAAGTTGTGAATAAGTTTTAACTTATTTTTCATTTTACAGGATATTCCTATTCCTCACATGATATTTACTTCCATAATAATGAAATGTTGGCATAATGAAATGTCGTCCAAAAGAAAAGAATCAAGTTGGAGCAATCTAGGCTGTTCTCCGAAGAATATCCGAAAAAACAAATAGTAGTTAAAACTGCTGACATTGGTTTAGCTCTACTCAACACAGCTCTCAAAACTTTGACTGGTTGCCGCGTTTAAGCTCCTAACCAATCAGAACTGATCACTTCTATCCTCGTATTTCGAAGCAGATAAATAAGTATGAATTTATACAGTTTCAGTTGTGGTCTGCAAGGATTGTATTAATTTTACTAATTTTATGTAATTTATCTTAATCAATTTTAAACAAATTTCCATTTTAATGTAAGTGAATAATTTAGGTTTAGACTCCATTATTTCAAATGCATGTGGCTTGCATACGGTATCATGTGATTTATTAAACTAGTGACTGAATTTGTTAAAATTATTAGTTTTTCTTATTAATAGTAAGGATTTATCTTATATTAATATGCTTTTTTTTAAATTTCATTCTTTCAGTTTACTTTATTAAGCTTAGAGAAGTAACCTTTACTGGAAAAGTCAGTGTTAGAAGAGATTGTAATTTTTGTAAGGTCATTCAGGAAATTTCCCGCCCGTTTTAATCTCTATTTCATTAAGCTTTAAAAGCTGATTTTACTAAACGCATTGGTAAAATATGAGAAAAGTTTTCATTATTAAACATTTTTAGCAGAAAAGGGGGATAATCTTGCATTTTAAATAATCACGAGTCAACCTTGCGTTTTAGCTTGGCCTACGTTTAGAAAACGTTATCAAGTAAAGTTTTCTCATCAGAATTTTCTCCATCATGGAATAAGAAGATTTTTAATAAAGAAATATTAAATTGGTATGAAATACCCGAAAATTAAACTATATTTTTCTCTCTCAGTATTGAATTATCGGCAAGTTTTTTATGTTCATCAGAAATGTTTTAATAGAATCATCCATTTATTTATTTAGCACATTATATTAATTAGTAGCTTTTGTAAAGTACGTTGAATGCTGAAATAATTTTGAGATGTCTAGTAAAGTACTAATCGTGTTTCTGTAATGCTAAGCCTATGCTTTCAAAAGGTGGGTTGATAATCAAGTAGGAAAAATGAAACGGCTTCTCTTACACACATACGTTTTTAATTTCATTAATGCCCCTAACTAAAAGCTGAAATTTTCCAAACAGTAGTAACGTTTTTATTCCACTTCATTGAAGTTTGAATTATATTACAATGGGGTTGAATTTATCATTTTGAGATTATTTTTCAATTGATTATAATTATTTTAAACCAAAATAAAATTCACTCGGCTAATGGTGTCTTAAAGAGCTGATATATAATTTAATAGTTACCTTAGAAAATTTTAAAAATATGATAAATGAGAATATTTTACTGAATTTTTACGTTATTTATTTATTGTATACATAAAAGAATGCTGCATCCTCATTGCGCTGAAACAGATGTGGAGTGTGCTTTTTGAAATTTACAAAAATGCATAAACTTAGAAATAACATAGTTTATACACTAATTCTAAACTTTATAACTTAAAATCTAAGAATGACAAGTGCTAAATAGCGAAGTGTTTCAAATCATTCATTGCCAATTTTTAATTTGTTCTGTCTAAGATTATATCTTCTATATCTATTATTATATAAATTTATGTTTTAACTTTGAAAGTTTGCTCTAGAGATTGTTTTTAATGAAATGTTAAATTATATTTATATTTTCAGAAATTCATATTTTGAGTATTATGTATCAATTTTGTTTTGTGCTGAGTACTTTTTTTTCTTTTCCTCTCAGATCGTATAATGGAATCAAGTGTTTTACATATTACCAAATTAAGGGAGGTAAAGAAATTAATCTTTTTCTCATATTATTCAATTTATCTAAATAAAACCTGAACTTAAATTTGAAAATCTTTTTTTTTTTTTTATGGCTCTAGTGTAGAATTGGGTGCCCCTTCGATTGGCAACAAATTTTGTTCAGTTTTGGTGATGAAACCTCCATTTCTGGTTAACATGTTAGTTTTAACTTGGCTTTAGCTTCCTGATTTTTTTAAAGTAAAAATAGATCGATGTATACATGGACAAAGTCAAGGCATTATGCACTGCCAAGTTTGTGCAATTCTCTGATGTTTTTTTAATTGAAAATAGATCAAAGTGTACGTGGACATTGAATCTGCAATTCTTTTGACTTTTTATTTTGGTTTTGTGTAATGGCCATCATGAAATTGTGCCTTCCTAGTGCTGATCTTGGCATCAAAAAAGAATTGCCAAAAACAAGGGCACCCAGTTGTAAACTTTAAGAAATTTTAAGATAGGTTAGTTTCTTATGTTTGAAAGATTTTTCTGTTTGCTGTACTTATATAATAAAATCAATTCCCCTCTACCTCAAAAACATATTCTGAAAAGGATATTTATTAATTTTGAACTATTGCATGTAGTAATATTTTTGAAAAATATTGCATTTACACTTCATATAAATTTTTTAGCATTTTAGAAATTAAAATTATTTTAGTTTCATCATTTATAATTTCTTCCTATTTTAATTGAATATTTTCAGCAATAATGTTTTTTTCCTCCCCCCGTCTTTTTGTATGTGCTTGTGCTTTCTTTATACAAATTAAAAATATTTTTTATGCTATTTTAATTCAAAATTAGTGGGCCAAGCCAGTTTCAAAGAATTCAAAGGTAATTTAAATGGTAATATATTGGCTCCCTCAGTACCTTATAAGAATGTAATTTTAAAAATAGATTAAAAGTTAAATTAATTTTTTTTAATTGTTCATCATACAAAGAAAATCTTCAAGGGGGGATAAGGTTAGGGAAACACACCAGAATCTTTAAACTTCCAATGGAACGATGTTGCAAACAGGCTTAGAAAAATAATAAACTTAAATACTTCAAAATTGTAGCATACTGGATAAAATCACCATAGCCATTATACTTTTCCCATTTGAAAATCGAACAAATCTTATTCTACCTAGAAATACCTAGAAGTTATAATTTAAAAAGAGTTTTAGATTAAAACTTTAACATTCATTTTTGTCTAAAATTAATGTCCAAAATGCAAATTTATACAAAGAGATGTATTGAATGAAAAATATGAGGTATGTATGTTTATAAATACACAGTGATGAAAGTAGGCAGAATTGGGAGGGGTGAAAATATCCACACATTGTATAAATTGGAGCACAAAATATAATATACAGTCAAAAGTCGTTAATCCGGACTCGTCGGGACTTCGGCGATTCCGGATTATCGATTTTCCGGATTATAGATCATCAGTTTAAATCTCGTAAGATGGCATGCAGAAATTCTAAAATTAAAAATATGAAACCGTAATTTATGAAATAAAGAACAATTATGATCTAAAGGGTATCAAAATTTGCAAAAAGAAAAAGCTTAATATTTATTTGTTTACTTAAATAAACATTCCTTTCAATGTAAGTTGTTTAAGTTTTGCTTCGTTTCATGTGATAACTTTCTCTTTAATTCTATTAAACAGACATAATTTCTTGTTCAGTTACAAAGTTCTGCTGTTCAAGTCCTATAATTGCTGTGTCAAGAACACCGACTAATTTGTCAATCGAAATTTTTTCGTTTTCAATAACCTCTGTCACTTTTCTGCTATCGGAAGCGAATTATAATGACGAGGAACTTGTTTTAAATCATATCAAAGACGGAGCATATCGAGATGAAATACTACATTTGGTAAGGAATTATAAGCCAAATAAAATAAAAACATCTGATCTTCAATTATAAGCCAAATAAAATAAAAACATCTGCGCTGAAGATAAGGATAGTGCTGACAGATCAACTTCCAATTCATTACGCGCTCGCCGCCGCGTTCCCCCCGCCGAGCAGCGTGAAATTGATAAACAGATTTCGGATTTCAAAACATATTTTCGCTTTAGATCCTTTACATATTAACAAATATATATCGGAAATTCTATTTGATATAATCGAAAGTTTAAGCTTACTTTTATAAAATTGCTCTTACAGTCTGCAAAAAATAATAAGCTGGATCCAATTCGAAAATTAAGGAACAACACTCCTTAATTTTCGAATTTCAACATTAACTGAAATAGATAATTAGATAATTTTAGCTTATACGTCCATTATACATAAAACACGCACGCGAAAACGTATTCTGCACATGCGCAGTCGGAAAAGGTCTTACGTGCGCACGTAAACGCCTATGCGCATGTGTCAACGTGGCGCATGCGCAGAAAGTTTTTAGTTTTGAGGTCCGGATTATAGATCATTCCGAATTATGGGTGTCCGAATTAACGACTTTTGACTGTAATACAAAGTCCGAAATCCAGATATCCAATATCGGGAATTATCAAAAATCTGGACCTCGAAACCACAAACAACGTTTTTCTCGTAGGCTTATGCATGCGCATTTGATTCACCTCTTTGTGCATAATAAAACATCTGGAGAGTCCAGGTTCTTAATTTCACTTCAGTACTAAATAAAATATGGTCAAAAGTTTTTAATCCGGACTTGTCGGGACTTCGGCGATTCCGGATAATCGATTTTTCGGGATTATAGATCATCAGTTTAAATCTGGTAAGATGGCATGCAAAAATTATAAAATTAAAAATATGAAACCGTAATTTATGGAATAAAGAACAATTATGAACTAAAGGGTACCAAAATTTACAAAAAAAAAAAAGCTTACTATTTATTTGTTTACTTTATTAAACATTTCTTTCAATGTAAGTTGTTTAAGTTGCTTCGTTTCATGTGATAATACTTTCTCTTAATTCTATTAAACAGACATAATTTCTTGTTTAGTTACAAAGTTCCGCTGTTCAAGTCCTATAATTGCTGTGTCGAGAATGCCGACTAATTTGTCAATCGAAATTTTTGTTTTCTATAACCTCTGTGTCATTTTCTTCACTATCGGAAGCGAATTATAATGATGAGGAACTTGATTTAAATCATATCAAAGACTGAGTACATCGAGATGAAATACTACATTTAGTAATGAATTATAAGCCAAATAAAATAAAAACATCTGCTCTGAAGATAAGGATAGTGCTGACAGATCAACTTCCAATTCATTGCGCGCCGCGTTGTTTCCCTCCCCCCGCAGAGCAGTGTGAAATTGATAAACATATTTCGGAATGATGAGATAATCAAAGGATATGCCTTTATCCATTTTTTGCAGCAATTCCACTTTCTGTTTAATGGACTTCGAAACATACTTTCGCTTTGTAGATCCTAAACATATTAGTAAATATATATCGGAAATTCTATTTGACATAATCGAAAGTTCAAGCTTACTTTTATAAAATTGCTGTAACAGTCTGCAAAAAATAATAAGCCGGATCCAATTCGAAGATTACGGAACAACGCAATCTGCAACATTAACTGAATTAGATAATTTTAGCTTAGCTTATACCGTCCGTTATACATTAAACCCGCATGCGTAAACGTATTAGGTGCATATTCGCAACCGTAAAGGTCTTACGTGCACGCGCAAACGCCTGCAACGCATGCGCAGAAAGTTTGTACCTTTGAGGTCCGGATTATGGGTGTCTGAATTAACGACTTTTGACTGTACCTTGTTATTGAAGGAACAAGCATTTTAGCATAATTTTGTATGATCAGTAATTTGGCTCCGTTGCTGCATATCTGCTTGGCATACATCCCAAACTGAAACATTCCACATAGATATATCGTTGATCTGATGCCAACCTGGTGAATCATTATTTATTATAGTTTCCTTTCATCACCGCATGTTTATCAACACATGACAACTTAAGTAATGATTCATGTAGCGATGCCTAAATAATTTTTTTATGTTGGTAATTGACTAATAAAAGAGTATATAACCTTTTATGTTGACATTAAGCTTGCCGATCATTACAGATTTAAGTAAATGTACTTAAAAATATTGACGAAGAAAAAATTAACAAAAATTTCTTTCCATATGCTAAAAAGAGATTTTGTTGATGATACTCATAGACCCAAAGATTACATTTAGGGCTATTTGAATTAAGAATAACTGATTTGTTATTCACATAAACCCAAAACCAGCGCCAGGGCTTGTATAGCCGCACTGGGTTGAGAATTTAGAACGCACAGACACTGCATCAGGCAGCAAGATATCTAGCTCTGGCTTTCAATAAGGCTTTATATGTGAGAATTTATTCAGGACTGATAAGCCTTAAGCATGTGCAAGAAATAGCCATAAGTATAATAAATAAGTAAACTAATACAATTCAGGCTTAATTGTCTCAGTGCGCATTAGAAGCAAGATAAAATTTAACGGAACAACTTATTATTAGTTGCCAAGCTCATGATGCATAGCCAAATATGCAGGGCTGTGGATTCGGTAGGGAAAATGACAGACTCCTGGAATTTGAAAGACTCTGACTCCCTTATATACACTCTTAGAAGAAAAAAAAAAAAGAGAGAGAGAGAGAGAGGCACACCAAGAAGGAGCTATTTGAATGGGAAGAAAATCCGTGGAAGTGATACTTTTGAATCACTTCCACGGATTTGAAGTGAATACCGTGGAAGTGATCTGTGGAAGTTTCTGTACATGTACAGAAAAACATGATTACAGTTTGAGAAAAATTGGATGATTTATTGAAGTGATAGAGCTTCACAAAGTGAAAAAGTCAGTACAGTAAAATTCCAGAAATCCGCAAAGCTTGGGACCAGAGGTTGTGAGGATTTCAGGATAGAAAAGATAAAGCATAATATTCGGACTAAAAGTGCAAAATGAATAAGGTGTATTAGATACATTAAATTATTACTACATACATAAATTGATTATATTATTCAATGTATTATATGTACACAGCATCAAGGTTTGCCGATTTCGCCT